AGAGGGATGGCAAGAGTATATAAATGCAACGGTTTTGGATTGATGTTCAGAGTTTACGCGATTCTTTTTGTGTAAACGAAATCTGGAGAGGGTGGTGAATGAGGTATGGAGAATAAGCTTTTTTTTTTTTTTTTTTTTTTTTTCTTTAATTCAGTTACGTTCCTGTATTACGTTATTTTGGGTTGTTACTGGAATTATGTACTTAAGTCACTGTATTATGCTAATCTGAAATTGGAATGATGTATTGTGTTGCTGTATTATATTAACTAATTAGTGGAATTATGTACTATATCATGTTAATTAGTTTATGTGTCATGTTCCCTGTATTATGTTGACGTTATTGGAATTATATATGTCCATATTATATCATATGTCATGATGATTATATACTGTGCTCCTGTGTTATGCTTAGTCTCACTCTCTCTCGCTCTCGCTTTCCCTCTCTCTTTATCTGTCTGTTTGTCTGTCTGCCTGCCTGTCTCTCTCTCTCTCTCTCTCCTCTTTTCTTCTGTCTGTTTGTCGGTCTGTCTGCCTCTCTTTTCTCTATATAAATTTCTGTCTGTCTGTCTCTGTTTGTCAGTTTGCCTGCCTGTCTTTCTCTCTCTCTTTTCTGTCTGTTTGTCTGTCTCTCTTTTCTCTCTGCATATATCTGTCTGTCTGCCTGCCTGTCTGTCTGTCTGTTTGTCTGTCTCTCTTTTCTCTCTGCATATATCTGTCTGTCTGCCTGCCTGTCTGTCTGGTCTGCTCTTCTCTCTCTTTCTTTTCCCTCTGTATTACTGTCTGTCTCTGTCTGCCTCTCTCTCTCTCTTCTCTCTCTCTTCTCTCTCTCTCTCTCTCTCCTCTCTCTCTCTCTCTCTCTCTCTCTCTCTCTCTCTCTCTCTCTCTCTCTCTCTCTCTCTCTATTTTCTGTATCTTGCCTACCTACACTTTCTGGCATTTGATATTTTTAATGCTAAATAACATGATCACAATTTGAAGACACAATTTATTTCTACTGAAGAGAAGACATGGTGACAAGCAACAAGCATATGGAAATGAAAAGGAATGTTGATAGTTTTCAATACTAAAGGTGCATAATTCTTTTGAAAAAGGTCACTTATTACATACCTTTTTGCATTTTGAGATTATTAATTCTATTCATTTTTCAGCATTTCAAACGCGATTAACGTTTTAACAGTTTTTTTTTCTATTTCACTTAATATTCTTTATGAAAAATTCTAACGTCGCTTGTTTTCTCTCTCGCTTACGTCTAGCCAGGATTTTGATGTTTTTTTTAAGCGACCGTTATTTTCGAACTTATTGGTTCATTTTTAGTGATGGCACAATAAACTCAAGCATTTCTTTCTGAGCATCCTTTCTTTTTCACTACCCTCTAGCCCACATGTCCATGATACGCTATAGGACCACGGCAACTGACATTTCTGAAGTGTACCTACAATTTTAGTATCACATCTGATAACGTGTTTTTAGCGCCGTTGCAGTTCTTTTTGTGGCACCCTTTTCTTCACCCCCCCCCCCCACTTGCCCACGTCACCCCAGAATACCATGGCAACCAGAGCGGGTTTCCAGTTCTCCCGTGACCAAGATCTATTTCCCAACATGACCTTTCTAAAAAAAAAAAAAAAAAAAAAAAAAAAAAAAAAAAATAATATATAATATATATATATATATATTATATATATATATATATATACATATATAACATATATTATTATATACATATGTTTATAATATATAAATAATAATAATAATGTGGTTCTTTTTGTTTTTATTTACTTTACTTTCACCAGCAGTTCAGGCGCTTCAAGATGACTGACAAAGTGACATTCACGATCAACGGAGTGCAACATGAAAGTGAGTTTGAATTTGTTTTTTTGGAAAAAAGGGCGAAGAATTAACACCCAAAAAAGCCGTATTTTGAAAGTTTTTCCCTCTCTCACCCCAGGAGATAAGGAATCAAGTATATTCACCCTTGGTCACACTTTATTATTATCAGAAAAAAAAATGTACATATAGATAGTTTATCTTACAGGCCGCATCATGTTATTATCATGCAATTGCCCTTTGTGTTATCGCATTTGATAAATTCTTATAACTAGTATCAGAAAATAACATGTTTACGAATACCAATGAATATTACTGATAAACATATTCGACTTAATATTTGACATAATCAACGATAATTTTGAAAGGACTGTCACGTTACTTTGTTTGTCCTTGTGTATACGCATATATTATATCAATATATATATATATATATATATATATATATATATATATATATTATATTATTATTTATTATATATAATATACCAATTGTATTCACATACATACATGCATATACCAACATACATTCACACACAATACACATACACACACACATACACACACACACACACACACACACACACACACACACACACACACACACACACAACACACACACATATAATATAATATATATATATATATAATAATAAAACATATAAATATACATACATAATATACATAGATACATAGATACATATATATATATATATATTATATAATATATAATATATATATATATAATATATATATATATATATATATATATATATATATATATATATATATATATATATTATTATATATATCACGCACACACAAATGCACACACAAACACACACACACACCACACACACACCATCACACCACACACACACACACTACACACACAACACATAATATATTACCTATCTATATTATATATCCATAATACTATATAAATATATATAACGAAACTAACAATTATTCCATGTATATTAGTATACAATTTTCATAATTATATATATATTAGATAAATAATCACACCATATATATAAATAAGAACCAATAAGCTAATATAATTATATACATAAATATATATACAATATCAATGTATATAATATAATAGAACACTATATATATAAATGTAATAATATATATCACAGTAATATATATACAAACTAGTAATATATATATATATTCATATAATACATAAATAGAGGAGATTTGCTAAATATAATCACGTATAGAACAATATATATAACTTACTTATCTAACTTAATATAACCTCTATTATCTCCGCTAACTCTACGTAGTGTCTGTGCTACGTGTTGGGCGGTGTGTTTACATAAAAATATATATATATACTATAATATGTATGTATCGCTAAGATTTATAATATGTAGTAGTAACCTGGCCGAGGTAGTAGTCGGCCCCAAATCTTCAAGATCCACAAGATATCATTGAACAATGGTTAAGACCAGAGATACGAGAGGGGGAACACATAGCATTAGAGAATAAAGATAAACACTTAACAGCGGTACGACCCAGTTTAGAAGCAGGATCCCTCAAACACTGAAGAAGAGAGAGAGAAAAAAAACACCACGCACTGCTTGTTGGGAAGCAATCTACCGTAAAAGAAGCTGCGTGGTGGTACGGAACATCAGCCTCTCCGCAGGGGTATCTTTGCCAAATAACGGGTTTTTAGTTTAAAAGCCCAAAACAGTATCAAGGCCAGGAAATTAAAAGACAGACGAGCATTCTTGAGCACTTTCCTACCGTTGTCTATGTTTTATGGTCTGTTAAGCATTACACAAAATCTACTTCACCCAATAACATGACTGACATTTTTTATAAAAAACCATGATAGTTTGGACTTGCCCCCGGACCCAACAATGAGGAGACGTAAGAATTCTTTAGAATTGTCACTGGCGTTCAATCTTTCCTCGTCTTCTGAACAAATCTCAATTCCCCATCAAGTTCATACCCGTTTCAGCAACTTCTTACAAATCTAGAGCCCACAACTTGAGTCCGGAAATCTTAGTTGTAAACAGTTCCATATCATCATCAAAACATGATTCTTGAAATCACATTTTTGAGGGGGGGGGACACCGCCTCCCCCTTCCCCCGAGTGAGTTACCCACTTATCTGGAAACGAAAGAAAAAAATATAACTTTGTCAGCCGCATACGCTCAGTCTCATTCTCTCTTCCGATGTCTCATCCGCTCCCTCTTTCCTCTGCGAATCCAAATCTCTCTGAGTTGTTAACAAGTATCGAAAATAAGCCCAGATTTTTATGTCTACGAACTTCTTGCCTCATATTGCTGCCTACACTGGCAATCCTTAAATTCATTCGTTTGATCCGCAAGAACGAGTCGATCTCCACGCCTCCGTCGATCCAACCAAAATATCTTACGTCTCCTCCACATTCGCTTGGGCTCCTCGGGCAAGCCAACTTCTCAAATTCAAAAAAACAATTCAAATTGTCTAAACCACAAACTCTGTGTATAACCAATCTATAATTCATTATATTCATGCTACTAATATAATATAATCCATATTATATACTATACACTCTTACTAAAAACAATATATCATATATATATCATTCACTATATATATATACTATAAATATATATATATATCCACCTCCTATTTTACTGTATATACCGTTATATTTATACAATACATACCATGCCAACTACATATATTAACCAATATCTCATACTCTATACTATATACTACCATAACCATATATACCATATGAAATACATATACCCAATACTATCATTATAAAGAAAAAATATAATATTATATATAACATCATTATATCCGACATCCACACACATACCAATCATACATACAAACTATACATATACATATACATATATAATATCAATAATAACAAAACTATAATCTCAACAATATCACATAATACTATAATATATATATACTTTTATATAGTGATCTATATTGTATACACACACATCATAATACCACAGAGAGTAAAAACCAATCCGCAATCCACATAAAGCACGCCGCACCAAAACTCGCACCATAAAACCCACTCGGTCCCTCCGGCTAAGACCGTCCGTCAGTGAGCGATCTCCTCCCTGGCAGTCGGGGCGGACGTCACCGCGGACACCAGCCTGTCCACGTACCTCCACGCGCAGCACCTGAGGGGGACGCGCGTCACCTGCGGGACTGGAGGCTGCGGCGCCTGCGTGGTGCTGGTGACGAGGCCGAGTCCCGACACAGGGGAGAAGATGTCTTACTCGGCGCTCAGCGTAAGTGGTGGCTTGAGTGCGCCGGCCGTTTCCCCTTTCCCCTTCAGTTCTGCCGACAGATTTTTCTCTAATGTTCCTCCAACAGATTTTGTTCCCTTCAATTCCTCCAACAGATTTTGCCCTTCAATTCCTTTTCCAACAGATTTGCCCTTCCACTTCAGATTCCCTTCAACAGCTTTTCCCCTTCATTCCTAAACAGATTTCCCCTTTAAATTCCTCCAACAGATTTTCCCTTTTGGTTATTTCCATAGACATCCACTCTCAGACCCATCAACAGTTTTTCCCCTTCATTCTTCCTCCAGATTTTCTACTAAAATTCCTCCAACAGATTTTCTCCTCCATTTCCTCCCACAGACTTCCATTCTCAGATCCCTCAACAGACTTCCCCCTTCCATTCCTCCAACACCTCTATCCCCACCATTCTACTCACCCTCGACTCTCCCCTTCCATTCCTCCAACCCTTACCCCCCCATTCTACTCACCTTCAACTCTCCCATTTCATTCCTCCAACACCTCTATCCCCACCACTCTACTCACCCTTGACTCTCCCCTTCCATTCCTCCAACACCTCTATCCCCACCTTTCTACTCACCATCGATTCCTCCAACCCCTCTATCCCCACCATTCTACTCACCCTCGACTCTGCCTTTCCACTCCTCCAACACCTCTATCCCCCCCATTCTACTCACCCTCGACTCTCCCCTTCCTCCTCCAAACCCCTTATCCCCCATTCTATCACCCTCCTCTCCCCTTCCATTCCTCCAACCCCTCTATCCCCATCTTTCTACTCACCCTCGACTCTCCCCTTCCGTTCCTCCAACCCCTCTATCCCCCTCATTCTACTCACCCTCGACTCTCCCCTTCCACTCCTCCAACACCTCTATCCCCACCATTCTACTCACCCTCGACTCTCCCCCTTCCGTTCCTCCAACCCCTCAATCCCCACTTTCTACTCACCATCGATTCCTCCAACCCCTCTATCCCTACCTACTCACCCTCGACTCCCCCTTCCATTCCTCCCCCTCAATCCCCACCATTCTACTCACCCTCGACTCTCCCCTTCCATTCCTCCAACCCCTCTATCCCCATCTTTCTACTCACCCTCGACTCTCCCTTCCATTCCTCCAACCCCTTTATCCCCCCCATTCTACTCACCTCGACTCTCCCCTTCCATTCCTCCAACCCCTTTATCCCCCCATTCTACTCACTCGACTCTCCCCTTCCATTCCTCCAACCCCTCTATCCCCCCATTCTACTCACCCTCGACTCTCCCCTTCCACTCCTCCAACACCTCTATCCCCACCTTTCTACTCACCCTCGACTCTCCCCTTCCATTCCTCCAACCCCTCTATCCCCCCCATTCTACTCACCCTCGACTCTGCCCCGCGTCCACAGTGCCTGATCCCCGTGCTCGGCTGCAGTGGCTGGGAGATCACGACCATAGAGGGTCTAGGGAACCGCTTCGATGGCTACCACGTTATCCAAGACCGGCTTGTGGAACACTACGGTACCCAGTGTGGCTATTGCTCTCCTGGAATGGTCATGAGCATGTATGGGTAAGTTTGGGTGTGGTCTTTTTAAAGGTGGGGACTTGTACTGTGTATCCGTAGATGCTGTACTATATATCTGTATGTATTGTACCATGTGTTTGCATATACATGTGTTATATTTCCGTTCGTGGATCGATTACAAATCCGTAAACTTTATTTTTTTAAATTATGGTGGGAAGCATAAGGATGAATGAAGTGTATTTTTGGTAAATCTTAATGACAAACATCTTGCTAACTTTGTGTTTTTTTTTTCATTTCTTATACAGTGTATAGGTGCAAATAAGTTTAGATATGCTGAAAGTCTCGACTGGTTTCACATGTAGTTGGTAGGATGTCTTGAAATGCTGCAGTATACAGCATAAGTTGGTTTATCACATATACTGTATATGTTTTATCTAAGTTATCGCCCAACTTCATTTCTTCGATGTTGAATGAAAGAAAAACGCATTGAATTAGTGCAATGCTAAGATAATGATAAAATAAGACGTATCGCGGTGCTGTAAAAAGTAAAACCGACATGCTACAACATTCTCACCCTACGAGACTTTGTTATCCTTCCCCTCAACCATTAAATAACGCCCCCCAACCAACCACTGCAGGATGACTCAGGAGAAATCCAGCTGGACGGATTCCGACGTCGAGGGGATCCTGGACGCCAACCTCTGTCGCTGCACAGGATACCGCCCCATCGTGGACGCTTTCAAGGCCGTCACTGTGCAGGATATCGAGGCAAGACTTTTCACGCGTTTGTAGATTGTGAGGATTTTCCTTAGACTTCTAGGGGGTGAAGCAGGGATATGTGTATATATTTCGCAAAAGCTCTTTATAGATGTTTGTATTTTTTTACTCGAATCCTATGTCCTTCATTTTCTTTTCTTTTTTTGGTTTCTGTAAACTTTTAGGTTTATATATATAAGTTAACATTTAGACTTTTGTGGATTTTATTGATTCCATGGAAAGATGATGTAGACTTTCATAGATTTTATTGCCGTAGATTATGTAGGATTTTAATGATCTTTATAAGTATGTGAACTCTTCTGTATAGTTTCACAAATTTCTGTATATATATATATATATAATATATATATAATATATATATATATATATATATATATATATATATATGTATATATATATGTAATATATACAATATATATATTCATAGATATATGTATATTTATATCTATATCATATATATGTGTATATATATATACATATATATATATATATATATATATATATATATATATATATTCATATATATATATATATATATATATATATATATATATATATATATATATATATATATATATATATATATATATATATAATGTATGTATATATTTTAAACACACACAAATATATAGTATATATATGTACATATATATACACGCGCGCGCATGCGTGTGTATGCATATGCATGCATGTTTACACACATCGCCTTCAACAGGACTCCCACACGCTCAGCTGTCCCCGAACAGGTCAGCCTTGTAAGGGTCGGTGCTCGTTGAAATCAGCTGACATTAAGGTAGAGACTGCATTTTTTACTCTGTTTGTGATACTAGTGCCAGTAGAAATGAAGATCATTGTTGTTATCATTCCTATCATCGCTGTTGTATCATCATAATTAGTAACAGCGCTGGTCTCCTCTCCCTTCACTAATTCAGACAAGCTCCTGCTCGAAGCCAAGTGAGAAGCCGGAATCACGGCTCATCCAGCTGAGAGATGCGACTTGGCATCAACCCGCATCCCTTCAGGTAACCCTGTTTTCCATGAGTTCTCCAGGAAGTTGCTGGAATTAGATAACATAACCATGAAATATGGGAATCAGTGAAACTTCATAAGAGAATTATATCCTGAAAATATACATGGGAACTGTTGATGTCTTTATTGCAGGAACTTTACAGCACCCTAAGTGACTTGCCACAGGGAACCAAGTATCGGTTTGTATGCAGTGACACAGGGAAAGGTAAGTCCGAGGACCTCTTTGTATGGGCGTCTTCTGTACGCGCCAGAAAAGTTGAATCCGGATAAAAGTTGAATCTAAATCCACAGTACTTGCACAGATGTAAGTCACACTGCCAGACGTAGAAGTTAATGCGATCATCAATAAATCAGCAATTTTACATGGATAGGCGGGTCTTTGTGCAGTGGCAATTAGCAGTCATCCTCTTCGAGTTTCATATCACACGCTAATCTTGATAATGAGACGTTTGCTACAGAGAAACTAATATACACATATACAGTAATATTATATCATGAAGATATGCATTTCCGTCACTACAAATAAATATATATAATTGACCAAATAATACATCTGTTGAATTTCGAATGCAAATGAATTAAAGGTGTCAAACAAAAAGATTTGTCCGAGAGCTCTTTCTCGTGGGTGATCACGGGGCACGGGGTAGAGTAGATTTTTCAGGATGTTGCTATCGAGGAATAGGATAACAAATTTCCACGTCGTTTTGAAGTCATTGTAGTATAAAGATTCAAGAAATTTGTAACTTGAATTTAAAACCTAATCTTTATGTTATTAAAGGCTTTTTTTGCAGTCTATTGATATATTACATAAGTTGAGTGTTTTTCCAACCTGGATATAACAATAGCTGGAATTTTCTGTGGGATTTCCTTTTCTTTTTTCTTTTCCTTGCTGAGTTGTATCTCCAGTTTGAGTTTCCCACAATATGTTGATGAGTTTTCACATACATCTTTAACATGAAAAAGAGAGAGAGAGAAAAAATAGAACTAGACAAACTAAGAAACAGAAAACGGGAAAGAAAGAAAGAAAACGGTACCCCCAACGCTGACTCCTCCCTCGGCCATCACCACCACAGGCATATTTCACAACGAGGGACCCTACAGCGACTACATCTCCACCACCAGCGTCCCCGAGTTCTCCCGCGTGGCAGCATCTTCGTCTGGCCTGGTTTTCGGTGCCAATGTCTCCATCAGCCGCATGATGTCTGAACTCTCCAATGCCTCGCAAAGTCTGTCTGGTTTCGGCTTTGCGGAGAAGATCGTCAAGATGTGGAAGAGAGTGGGTGGAACTGCTCTGAGGAACGTGAGTGGAGCTGAATTAAGGTTGTTAGTGTTGTTGCTATTAATACTATTGCTACCTTTGTTGCTATTTAATTATTATTGTTATTAAAATTATTATTATTAACTTTCTTCATCTCCATATCATTATTAGCTCTCTCTCTCTCTCTATTACTAACGCATTCTCTTTCGCTCCTTACCGTTGTTGTATAGCAATAATCATAGTAATTATGATGATGATAATCGGTTGTCATTATTTTTTTTCTGAGGAGAGGAGTGATGATTCCTCTTTAGTCTGAATTTTCTGTATATATA